CTTGAGACAAATTAAGAGTCAATCATTACTTTTCATTAACGTCACTTAATTAAACATTTTCATCTAATGCAACACAGAAAACAGATTTCTAGTTCCGGAATTAAATATCATAGCATAATCGATTGTTTTTCAAATATAACTGATTATGGTTCATTTTAAGTCTGTTATGGTTTTCAAGCTGTTTAAGCAATACGTGTTATTGTGACCACGCCCCGGGCAGATTCGTCGAACAAGCAATCGATCCAAAGTTGTGATTTGTTATTTTCTTTTTTTTTTAAAGAAGATGGATGATTGGGTAGTTTGTGGAAGATCGGAAGAGAGAGCAGTCCATCGAAAGTTTTAGAGGTGGGCCTATAAAGTCGTGTCATCGGCATATGTGTTTACAAATGATCTGAGTATATTCTTAGGCAGATCATTTATGTTGATCAAAAAGAGGGTTGGCCGGAGAAGTGACCTCAAGCGAACGATTACGTTGAGCGCTAGGGTCCCGGAGGACTCGGCATCAATAAGTACCCGTTAGAAAGGATTTTATGATCGAGCAGAGCCCTCCAGATAGATAGATAGATACATTGTTTCTTTACATTATAGGAAGGCTTACGGAAGCATCACATTGAAAAAACACTTCACGTTTGATCACCGAAGTTAAGCAACGTTGAGACTGGTCAGTACCTAGATGGGTGACCGCTTGGGAATACCAGGTGCTATAAGGTTGGACATGCAGGTCGGGTAATGGATAATGGCTTGACATTGGAAGTCGGAGAGTCAACTTTCAATTCTGGTTGGGTGCATTATAGTCACTTTGGCGTAAATACCCTTAAGTAATATGTGAATCCAACTCTTCTCCCCAGCTATGGATTAATTAGTAGAAATTGTATCAGTAATTCATTAGTCCAAAAAATTGTTACAATCTAAAAAAAAAAAAAAATTAATAACTTAAATAATTTGCAAAAGGTTGATAAGCCGTAAAAACGAATAAATCAATCAATAACGGAGGCGATCTTGGCTCAACTGCAGATTCGTTTTGTTTAATATCTGCGAATTGCTGTCTTCTTAGGAAAGATAGTGGTTTCACTTTGCCCTTTTTATGCAATGGCATTTATAGATTTCATGAGAAAAAATTCAGTTTAACTGTCACGTTGGTTTTCTAGGCCTGCTGTTATATACCGTACCTATCAATACTAATGGGTATGTCCTAATCCTCATAAATACTTTGGACACTATTGTAAATGGAGGGTAATATGCTGTCTAAGTAGTACAGCACTAGCAGTGGTTTACCTACTTCACGCCGCTGGCGAGTATTGTATTTTGTTGATGTTATAAAGACTACCACTTCATTTTCAACCTCCGTGATGGTTATTCCTCATCCAATAAACTTTCTAGGTTACAACACTCGCTGAAAAATGAAAAGGCACTACCTCTAATGTTAAGATCTGGAGAGGGTGATCTGTTACTTTACTTCAGAGACCTTCTCAGTGTTTGTTTAAAGTGAAGATCATACTCGCATACGATGACTCAACACTTTTCCTAGGTAGCTTGATCTACTGATTTGTTTTTTACGGTTTATAGAGCTTTTGCACGTTATTTAAAGCCAGAAAATATTTGAGATTGTAAGAGTTTTTAGAGATAGTAATGATTTATTGATACAAATAATTAACTCATAGTAATAAAATGATGGCTGTAGTGGGAACAAAAGGTGGATGCATATATGTCCGAAGGGAATAAAAGTGAATATAATAAACCCGACCATAATTTGAACTCGGCCCTCCAATTACGAGCCGTTATCCATTATACCAACTGCACATTCAAGCTTGCAAAACCTGGTATTCCAATCTCATCTAGATACATGCTTTGTTAGCTCAGCTAGACTAAACTCTAAATTCCAATCCGTAGAGACGGCAACGTGAAACCACTTCACTTACCTACACAGCAATTCACAGATATTAAACAAAACTAATCTACAATGAGGTATGATCGGTTCTGTGATAAAGGAAGATGGCCATAATTTTAAAAAAAAATCTCTTTAATGGACTGTCTATCAGAGCTGGAGGATATTTCGTCATAGCTGGAGATCATGCAGCGGGGTATAATTCCTGTCATGACATATTGGTCAAAGGGGATATATTAATGTCACAAGGATATTCGTTCGAATGGAATCCGAACGCAATTCTCCAGTCTCATTTTTCATGTTGATAAACATAATGCCACTTCACAGATCAGCAACACAGCACATTGGAAATTAATGTATGAGAAGTGACAGGCGCCTGGCTTTCTGTGTTGTATTTAGCATATGGACTGAGAGAACGAATATGAATTTTAAGAATCGATCATTTGATAGTTAATGCTGGAAAATATACAAAATATTAATTTAAGAAAAAAATTCTCTTCTTTCGCGGAAATATTAAAAAAATAGAGCTTAGTAATTGTTGCCGCTTAAGCGTAGAATAAACGAAAGCTTTCGGAGTAACATTGGTGCTTTAAAATGAAGGCTGAAGATTTAGGCTGCAAATTCAGAAGATTTTGACGTATTATCTTTTAGTAAATATTGACACGGGGCGTTGCACAATGAAAATGAGGAAGAAATACTTTATCAGAGATTTATATTTTACAAATTAATCTAATAATAACAACTAGCAGTAGTGAATTAAATTAAAAACATTTCATCCTCAAGCGAATTTTGGACTCCAACATTCGCTTGAGGATGAAATGTTTTTAATTTAATTACAAAATTAAATTCGAAGCTTTCAGCTTCCATTTTTGAAACATGGTTATTACTGTATAGCGAAAAAAAGCATATTTTAAATAAGTTTATATATATATATATATATATATATATATATATATATATATGTATATATGTATATTAACTTATTTATATATATATATATATATATATATATATATATATATATATATATATATATATACATATATATATTTTACTTCGATGCGGTGTAATGGTCAGCAAGCGTGTCTCGCTAGAAAAATTACGACTGAGTAGTGAGTTTGATCCATACTTTCGGCCTTGTGCCACATCTAAGCTATCCTTGGAAAATCTCTCCCTCTCTCTCTCTCTCTCTCTCTCTCTCTCTATATATATATATATATATATATATATATATATATATATATATATATATATATATATATGAAAAAGAAAAAATACAGAAAAAAACAAACAAAATCTGAATATGCAATTATGTAGTATTAATGTAAAAATAAAGTCGACGTCGGACGTTTCGGTCTATTTAAGACCATCATCATGGACATTTTCATTTAAACATAATTAACATTAGAACTTATAAAATTTTAACACAAAAGACGATGGACATAAGAAAATGAAAATGTCCATGATGATGGTCTTAAATAGACCGAAACGTCCGACGTCGACTTTATTTTAACATTAATACTACATAATTGCATATTCAGATTTTTGTTTGTTTTTTCTGTATTTTTCTTTCATACTGTCGGATTTATATCCATATATTTGCTTACATATATATATATATATATATATATATATATATGTGTGTGTGTGTGTGTGTGTGTGTGTGTGTGTGTAAGAGATATAAGCTGATTTTTGATCGATGGTATGTCGCTATCATTTTATCGAATGAGTGTAAGTTATTTCTTAACTATGTATCCTAAAACTATAGCCACGTGACTGCTCAGCTTCAGTGCCTATAAAATAGTAACAAATAAAGTTAAATGTTTATTTCTGTTTATACGCCGAGCTTTGCAGAAGTTGTACCCACTCGTTGGGGTGGTGGCGTAAATTGAATTTATTTAGAGAAATAATTTTTTTTTTTTTTACGTAAAAGATGTTACTTTTTCTAACATCTTTTAAGAGGAAAGAAAAACACAATTATGAATTCAAGGGTGAAAAAAGAAAAAAGAAAAATATGAATTCAATTTTACTATCAAGACCCCTGACGAGGAGATACAATTTCCTTGAAATTCAGAGTAGGGACAGATAAGCGAGCATTTAATTTTACTTTTACATATTAATGCTCTATATTTGCATATCGAGCACTATACTTCCAAAAATAAATAAAATAAACAAATGAAAATAAATTAAAAAAAAAAAAATTAAAAAATCTTCTTGTTTAATGAGCGTTATTTTCCAGAAATACGTTTATTTTGTTTTTCTTTTCAGAATGCAATCTTTGATACAAGTTCACGTGAATTGCTAGTCACTCCATATTTAAGCATCCATGACTGCATCTAATTATATCCAGATCTATCTATCTATCTATCTATCTATCTATCTATCTATCTATCTATCTATCTATCTATCTATCTATCTATCTACCACAATCTGTTCAAATGTATCTATCTATCTATCGCAATCTGTTCAAATATATCTATCCACCGCAATCTGTTCAAATCTATCTATCTATCTATCTATCTATCTATCTATCTATCTATCTATCTATCTACCGCAATCTGTTCAAATCTATCTATCTATCTATGTATCTATCTATCTATCTATCTATCTATCTATCTATCTATCTATCTATCTATCTATCTATCTATCTATCGCAATCTGTTCAAATCTATCTATCTATCGCAATCTGTTCAAATCTATCTATCTATCTATCTATCTATCTATCTATCTATCTATCTATCTATCTATCCTGAACTAGCAAGAGAGATAAAGATGTATAGAAATAACATTTGAAATATTAAGTTTTAGGTTTAGAAAAATGTAAGCTGCTTAAGAAACCTTTGCGATGTTAACGAAAATTTTCAAAATATTAATAAAAACAAAACTAGACGCACACGCATAGAAACACACACGGACGCACGCACACACACACATATATATTGTACAGTGTAGATTATAGCAAAAAAAAATCTTAATTAATTTTGTATAACATATTTAATGTAAAAAATGCTGTATTGCTTGATGCAGTTTTAATTCATCTATCACAGATGGAGACTTATAGGAATTAATAAGTAAAAAAAAATCAAAGTGAGTCCATAAGTAAGTATTAAAAAAAATGGTAAAAGCAAATGATAAAATGCTATTAAGAAAAAGCGGCATTTATGCAACAACTACTGAAAAAGACGTCCAACGTTGCTACATCTGCGCAAGACAATGTAAGACCCTAGCAAGACTAAAAAGCCACATTCGCGCTACTCATTTATGTAGATGGATCACTGATAGAAATCGTGTCGTAGCTATCTATCTATCTATCTATCTATCTATCTATCTCAATCTATTCGTAACTTTATACTATACGAAATAGAATGATATCCCAACGCGTCTTTATAATAGCAATGCACTGTGAGAGTGATAGAAAAAGAAGAGTCAAAAGAGAGAGAGGAGAAAGAGAGAGAGTGAGAGATAGAGTGAAAGTGAGAGTGTGAGATGAGACAAAGTGTCAGGTAAAAGCTGTGATTTACAGAGGGAAACACAGTATTAAGTACAAATCAATTAGAAAAACAATCAATTGTCAAAAGTCGTGTTTTATCGTTTGCATTACTTCTCCGGTTTTTAACTTTCATTCAGCTAAAAATAATTTGGTTCATTTTTTTTCCCCTCCTAAAAACTATCAATTGCTGCTTTCATTTTATTTTGTCGGAAATTCTTTTCGACGAAATCAGACGGAATTCACAGCTTTTCATTTTCTATTTCCATGTCCATCTTTCATTCCTCATTCGTCTCTTCGTTCCTTGTAAAAAAAAATCACTTATTTTCTTTTCTGAATTTCTTGTTTATTTTTTTCACTTTTTTTTTGTTAACTCTTTTTGTTTCGTATGAATTTTACTCTGTTTATCTATTGTTTCTTCTTGTTTTCTTCATAGATTTTTTATTTTTTCTTCAGCTTTCATTTTATTCTTTATTTTTATTCTTCTTTGCGTTTTTTTTTTCATGTTTTTCTTTCATTATATGTTCACATTTTCTCTTTTAAAAATACACTGTTATTTTCTGTTTTTCTTTTTTCTTTCTTTCTTTTTCTGTCTTTCTTTCTTTCTTTCTTTCTTTTTCTTCAACCACACTTTTTTCTTTCGTTTCGTTTCTTTCTTTGACTCATTGTTTGTTTCTTTTTTTGTATCCTCTCTTCTCTTTCTTTCGTTTCTTCTTTTTTCTTTCTCTCTTTCCTTTTCCCCAGTCACTTTTTTTCTTTCGTTTCTTTCTTTGACTCATTGTTTCTTTTTTTTCCAGCATCTCTTTCTTTCTTTCTTTCTTTCTTTCTTTCTTTCTTTCTTTCTTTCTTTCTTTTCTTTTTCCTCTGTCAGCCTTTTTTATTTCGTTTCGTTTCGTTTATTTTTTCTTTGACTCATTGTTTCTTTTTCTTCAGCCTCTCTTTTCTTTCTTTCATTTCATTCGTTTTTTTCTTTCTTTCTTTCTTTCTTTCTTTCTTTCTTTCTTTTTCCTCTGTCAGCCTTTTTTATTTCGTTTCGTTTCGTTTATTTTTTCTTTGACTCATTGTTTCTTTTTCTTCAGCCTCTCTTTTCTTTCTTTCGTTTCATTCGTTTCTTTCTTTCTTTCTTTCTTTCTTTCTTTCTTTCTTTTGTATCCTTTATATTTCTTTCTTTCTCCTTTACCCTTTCATCTTTCTTTTTTCTTACCGACTCCTCATCTATAACAAACACCCCAACAATTTTTAATTACATTTATTCCCTTTCATTTCACTCGCTTTTCTTTTTCACTTTTGCAGACGGCCGCCCCCCAATTCAATTCCATATATCCAAGTTACCCACCACCGCATTCGCCTACACATCTCGTCACCCTGCCACAGACACCTACACCCATCCCCATGCACCATCAGACCCCCATTTTTATATGTATGCAGCTAACACCCGCCTATAAGGACATTTTGTATCGAGGAGTCGAACAGAAAAAGCAACCACCTGCTCCCGGCCGCTTTTACGACAATGAACTCATTACTTTCTTGTTTCAAGTCTTCTTTCATCTTTGAATTCGCACTGTTTTTTTTTGTTTTTTTTTTGTGTGTTTCTGTCTCGTTTTGCAAGCTTTTACGTTCTTTTATTCTTTTTGGCTCTTTGCATTTCTTTCTCTGAATCTATCTTACTTTTTCGTCTTCTGAAATGGTGTTTATTTGAAATGTCTGTTTATTATTGTCTTCTTTTTAATTCCCAGTACCTTCTCCTATTGAAATTGGGTGTAATTTCTATTTAGTATCTTTCTGTTTCACTAGTTATCGATCTAAACCATTGATATTTTCTTCTTTGTTTTATTTTCAGCGTTTTAATTATTCGCTTTTCTTGTGTTTGTTATTTTGATCTATAAACTAACATTTCGCCATGTTTCTTTTATTTTTCATTTTCGATCATGAATTTTCAATTTCGGTCTTTAGATTTCTTTTTCGGAACTAATTTCAGTTCCCTTCAATTTTCTTTTTCCCTTCATTCGTGTTCATTTTTTTTCTCTTCTTCTTCATTAACTGTAACTTGTTCTTCAATTCATTCATTCATTTATTCATTCATTCTTTCTTTCGTATTTTCTTTCTTTCTTTTTCTTTTTTCTTTCTTTCTTTCTTTCTTTCTTTCTTTCTTTCAAATGAATTATTATCTGAATATTTCTTTCTTTTCATAATCCCAGTTCTTTCTTTCTTTCTTTCTTTCTTTCTTTCTTTCTTTCAAATGAATTATTATCTGAATATTTCTTTCTTTTCATAATCCCAGTTCTTTCTTTCTTTCTTTCTTTCTTTCTTTCTTTCTTTCTTTCTTTCTTTCTTTCTTTCTTTCTGCCATTATTTTCCTTACGTTTTTCTAGATTTTTTTATATTCGTTTTTGTTTCCCCAAATCTTTGCTCTTCTTCTTATACTTCTTTATATTTTTCGGTTTCTTGTCCCCGATCTTTCTCCTTCTTGGTCTTATTCTTCAAACTACTTACTTCTTCATTTAGATACATTCTTCTTCTTTTTCTTCTTCAAACTAATTTCTTCTACTTTCAAATACATTCTTCTTTTTTAAACTACTTTCGTCTTTTATTTTTTTTTAAATTACGTTCTTCTTCTTTCAAATATATTCTTCTTCTTTAAATTATTTTTTCTTTCCTTTATTAAACTACTTCATTTTTCATCTTTTTCAAACTTCTTTCTTATTATTCAAACAATTTTCTTCTACACACTACTTTGTTTTTTTCTTCTTCAACTTCCTTTTCTTCTTCGAAATTTCTTCTTTTTCCTTTTCTTCATACCACATTTTTTTCAGCTTCTTCAAACAGCTTTCTCCTTCTTCTTCGAACTATTTTATTTTCCTATTTCATTAGACTCGTTATTTCATGTTTAAGTATACTTTCTTTATCGTCTGTGAACTAATCATTCTCATCCCCGTCGTCGTTGTTTTTTTTTAGTTTTTTAATCATCTTCTTTTAGTCAAAACTCCTTCTTGTTTTAGTCATGCTATTTCTACATATCCACCTTCAAACCTCACTTCTCTTTTCTTTCACACTTTCCCTCTCGTTATTTTCATTCTATATTCGTTTCTTTCGATTTTTTCTTCTACAATTTTCTTTTTCTCTTCCTTTTTTTCTATAGTCGAACACATTTTCTGAGTCTCTTTGCCACACTCTTGTTTTTTGTATTTTTCTATACCTACACATCCAAACGGTCCTTGTCTCTATTTCACTATCATTCTCACTTTTCTTCTGTGCCTGCCCATCAAAGTCAGAGTAGATAATTAAATTAGAAACAATTTGAAAAAAAATAAAAATGGAAGGACATATGCACGCACAGAAATCCCACTTCCTTGAAGCTGACTTTCCAATGACATTATCTTATTCATGTTCGAAACTTCCAGTTGGTAAACTCTCACATTTACCTTCGATTTTCCACTCAGGTTCATGAAGCCATTGTAGTTAGTCACGGAAATTTTGTCGTTTTTCGTAACTCACTTACTTAGTACTTTTTTATATTTATATTTTATATTTTATTCCTATCTTATATTTTACCTAGTCACACATAAACACATTTACGGGTTAGCTTACCATAAAGATGAAACCTCCTTCACACGCATATATATATATATATATATATATATATATATATATATATATATATATATATATATATATATATATATATATATATATATATTATGAAATGGACAAAGTCCGACAATTATTTAAAGACATTTTATGTTTAACATTCTTTTTTTTATTTTAGTAAATGCTCTGTTTACAATTATTTTAAAGAAAACCGGCCTGAATGTCGAGAAATTTTCTGAAAATATTCATATTGAAAGGATTCGATTAAGGATCGTTCGATTGGCAAGGTCGAATTTACTGAAAATAAAGGATGAATATTTTCTATGAAAATTTCTCGACATTCAGGCCGGTAAATGTTATATAATACTGTTTAATATAAACAGAGCATTTACTAAAATACTTGTATCTATAAAAAGAATGTTAAATATAAAAATATATTATATATATATATATATATATATATATATATATATATATATATATATATATATATATGACGGAATACAGCGCTGGTATAGATGGAATAAAATTCCGATGACAAAAAAAAAAAAAAAAATAAATAAAAAGTGCTCAATACAAAGTAGAGCGAAGAATAATGTTTCTTTGAATTATCATATACTTGTATTCTGAATGGCCATCATAGCTTACGTAATAATGTTCCCCCTACTGGGGTTCGGGGTTGGTTGGTTTTGAACTTTTTAAAACGATTTATTTTACAATCAATACCATCACTTAAAAAAACATCAGAAGTGTTGAAACAAAATGGCTATTTTTGTAGTGACGTTATAACATGCTTATGTGATAATTTTTAAATATATATTTTGTTAACGGTCCAGAAGGGAAATCAGGTCTGAATGGCTAACACAGAAAACGAACAAGGAGACATCGAAAGAACATAAAGAACATTTATTCTTTTAAAAATTTAATCCTTTTATTTGCCTGAAGAAGTTCACGAGACCGGAAACTCGTGTAGCAGAAATATGAAGAATAAAATATTATATATACACTAAAACAAATTCTCGTTATAACCAAAAACGTTTGCGGTTTCTCTCTTTTTTAAAACAGATATTTTCCTCTCGTTGGAACAACTATAAACTTTTCGCAATATATATATATATATATATATATATATATATAAAGAGAGTGAGAGAATTTTTATCATTTCACTCCAAGCAAGGCGGGAATGCAACTAGTACGCATGAGGTTGCAGGGAGTAAAAATGAAAGAGAAGACTGAGTATAGAGAGGATTGAGAAAAGGGCAAAAGATGATCGGGAGTCAAGAAGCTAGAAGATGGCGATTGACGTTGCATTTAAATTTTTGAAAATTGTAGTTATCAAGGAAATTGTAGTTATCAAGTAAACAGAACGAAGTTCAGCGGGCGGGAAATGCGAAAAGAGAAACTGCTCAAGTATAAGTGGTGGTTGCATTGAGCTATTTTAGTAGTAAACAGGTGGGATCTAGATCCCAATATTGTAGCACGCTTAAATTTATGCCGTCAGGGCACCAGAGAAGTTGCCATGAAAATATGTATATAAAGAACAGAGGGGAGGTCGTGTTACGTCGGTTAGAAACTGACTGGAGCCGAGATGCCAGGTCAGGGTCGATTATATTACAGATCATTCTTTGAATTTTGTCAAGAACGTCGTGATGAATAGCAGGATCACCAGACCAGATATGGCGACAGTATTCAATGCACGTGTGTTAATTAATTCTATAGACAGGGACACAGGAGTATCTGAGTTTCTTATCAAGCAGGTAATGCATTGAAGACAATTCGGTATTTCTCATAAAACACACTTAAGCATCCCCTCCAACAGAATATGAGTTGGATTTTCTCCGACGAGCAAAATTTCTGCTAGGATATGATGAACGCTCAGAACAACACCTGGCTTGCTGTGTCTCCGAAAGATGGAGCAAGAGCGATGAAAATCAAAACATCCAGTCAACATCGTGGTGTTTGGAGTGATCACTAGTTATGGCAACATTATGACTCTATTCATCTTCCACAGACCGTGATTAAAACCAATGGTGATTTGAGTGAATAGATTTATTCTTTCGTATTTCAAGATATTTTTGTGTAATTTTGGTAAATACATCTGCTAAAATGAAATGTCAGTGTTATTTTCTTTTGGTGTAATTTAGACGACAATTTATCAATCACACTGTGTATATATATATATATATATATATATATATATATATATATATATATATATAATATATATTTAAAATAATGCATAATTTATATATATATATATATATATATATATATATATATATATATATATATATATATACCGTTTAAAATCTCTGCATAATTTATAATTATATATTATATATATATATATATATATATATATATATATATATATATATATATATATATTATTATTATTATTATTAATTAAAAATATCAAACACTTAAAAACCCTTGGGTAATAATTTTTATTTCTTGAGACTTCTAAAAACACAGCAGCAAATAATTTTGTTCTGTCCTTTGACATAGAATTCTCCCTGGATCTATATCCTCCTGGAAATTCCATATGGATTAACATATTGTATCATTAATATATATATATATATATATATATATATATATATATATATTAATGATACAATAAGGTATAAATTGATTTGCGTTTATTTGCTTTAAATCATTTTTTATCATTTCTCTCATTATCTCTGACGAAGTAAAAATTAAGTGGAACATGTAAGATTCAGATCTGTTTCCTAATTGTTCTTTTCTCGGATTCCTAGCCATACTAGATCTATAAACATACATACATGCATACATACACACACAAACACACACACACACACACACATATATATATATATATATATATATATATATGACTGTTTTTGGCTGAATATGGCGTTTCCTAATCTGCCGGAACCATTTTCAAGTCACTCAAGTAGAAGTCATTAACAACGGTCAGACTTAATTTTAACGTGACTTTTTACATATACACTTCAACATAGGATCTGCTATGGAGAAAGAAACCCTATTTAATGTAGACTGCTTCTCTTGTATTACAAGGCTTCCAGAATTTTCAGTTTTTTCCTTATATATATATATATATATATATATATGTGTGTGTGTGTGTGTGTGTGTGTGTGTTTGTGTGCATGTTTATTTATTAGGTTTTATATATTATTATTATTATTTATATATATTATTATTATTATTTATATCCACGAATGTTCACGCCGAACTTGCAATGTCGAATAGTGCCTGGAAGCGCAAATGTTTTCAAAGATAATCGAAATATTCATTTCTGCTCAGTTTCGGATCCTAACGTAAACAAAGCAATTCCTAATGAAGGAATGGATATTTTATTTATTAACCCGACAGTTGTTATCATTTAAACGTTATTTTAATGTATACTTATATATTCTGTTTAATAGATAAACGGGGCGTCTAAACAAATATTGGTATCCACTAAAATTACATTTTAGTGAAAAAATTTATATATATAAACATATGAAGAAATATAGTGTTAAGGTGTGCTTTATCTATTTTACTGCGTTAATATAACATCAAAAACCGAAAAAAATAAATAATACAAAATGAAAATGAAAAACAAAATAAATTAACCCAAACAAATAAATAATAAATAAATAAATGAACAAACAAGCCACTCCCACAAAAATAACCGCCAGAATAGATTACCCACAATGCACAACTGACCCATATATATAAATAGTCGAAGAAAAACAGAACATTCGCGGCCTGACGATTGCGTCTAGCATGAAACAGCCTGTCGCCTCTGAATGTTAGCTTCAATATTCACTTTTACACACACACACACACACACACACACACACATATATATATATGTGTGTGTGTGTGTTTCTTTTTCTATATAAGTTTATTCATTAATTTTATCTATCTATCTATTTATCCATCTATCTCAGTTTGTTTAGATCTATATAAGAATATTTATCTATGTATCTCGCTGAATTTCCTCTATCATTTTTTATAAAGGCGTACGTAGAAGAGGGGAGAGAGTGTGTAAATAAAGAGTGATAGAAGAGGAAGAATATTGAATGAAGCAAAGAGAGATTTTTAAAAGAAAGCAATAAAGCAGTATAAAGAGTGTGAAATGTTTAGGAAAGGTGTTGTCATTTTTTCTTTTTTCTTTTTTTGACAAGAGCGTGATGAGGAAGAGACATTCGGAAATAGGAACAAAATGAGAAGATGATATTGGAGAAATGAAAGAATGAACAAAGAAAGAAGATGAACGAGAGATAAACGGTCGTGAATTAGTAGCGTTATAAGGAGTTTGGTCGTAAAAAAATGAGGTTCGAAAAAATAAGGAGAGAGGAGAAGGGGAAAAGGAAAGAGTGTGAAAGATAAATTAACATACGTATAAAAAAAGAAAAAAAACAAAACAAAAACAAGACAACAATGGAGAAGAATGAGAAAAAAAGAAGCGTTTAAAGACCGGAAGTTGAAAGAAAGACAAAAGATGTTTATAGTAAGGAAATGAAGGGTCTGGTAATCCGCGTGGATGATTACATAAAGGAGAGAGCTCAATGTAACAACAGAGCAAATATTAATTAAATAATTAAGAAAGAGACAATTTTTATATATATATATATATATATATATAATAAAATTAATCACAAGATAAAAAAGAGAAAAATCTATTTATAACGTTATAGTAGATCCTCTAAGGATCAAGTCTATACTCAACAAAGCATGGTTTATTTTCACCCTTATCTCTTTTTTATTCATATATATATATATATATATATATATATATATATATATATATATATATATATATATATATATATAGTAAATATACATATTATCATTTGCTGGTAATACGACTCAGACATTTATGCCCAACGAAACCGTTACGTAATTTAAATTTTAATAAAAATATCTAGTTACTGTAACGTTGACACTTTCAAATATTATATGGTGACTACAGTTTTTTTATTAAAAAATATATATTTGGCATCCAATTAAACGGGGATATATATATATATATATATATATATATATATATATATATATATGTGTGTGTGTGTGTGTGTGAGTTACATATACATGAAATTCAGTTGTACCACATTTAGATGGGCATTTCGCTCCTAGAGAAATTTGCACCTTGAGACATTCCCTAGAGCTTTTGAAAAAAACACATTTGATAAAAAAAAAAGTTTTGGTTTTGACAAGCTCCAGGGAATTTCTCGAGATTCATTTATATGTAATTCATTTATGCAATCTGTAATAAATATATGGAGCTCCCTTTTGTGGATCAGTCTTAATATTTTATATTATTAGGATTCACTTGGATTACTTACCCACGTATTTTACATCTATCTATCTATCTATCTATCTATCTTCTTATTTTATCTATTTATTAATCACTATTCTACTATCCTTTTGTTCTTTATCTCTTTATTGAGGAATCATCTGTGAGAAAAAGAGCATCATGGTACTAGAAATTTCTAACGGCTTGATGTACTGTTTGTCATTCTCGCCGGAAGCTTCAATACGAACATTTCGGAGTGTTTGGGTGTTAATCTGAGGACAGTGCAGAGAATTCAAAAAGAGTTGGATGTGTCTAATGGTGATTATGAAGGCATGGCAGCTCGGAAACCTCACTTTGATCGTTCTGTTAAGAAAATAACGTGTTGGTAAGGACTTCAGACGTAACACCGAAGCCTACATCAAGTGATTTGAGGAAGTATTGCTGCATTGTATTAACGGGGTGACTGCTGGAAGTATCTCTCTCTGGCAAAAAGACTCTGCACCATGCATTACAAACAGGAGAAATGAGACAATTTCTGCGATCACATCTGGGTACATAACTCCGCAGACTGCAACACACTAGATCGTTATGGAACAGAGTTGATTGAGAAGCCAACAAAACTCCTTGTGACACAAAGAGAAACAGAAGGCAAGGATTATGGTAGCATTCATTAACTTAATCAAAGAGACATTCCAGAAGAGAAGCATGAAATCCTGAAGTCGTGGTTGAAGCCATCGGCAATTTTATTGAATAAATTTACTCTTTAGCATTTCAAGATATTTTTGTTTAATTTTGGTAAATATTTCTATCTATAAAAAACAGAATATCTGTATCTGTGTAACGAATTCAGGGCCGCAATTTTCGACGGATTTGCACCAAAATTTACATGCACATGCTCCAAGTTAGCGGGATAGTGGAAATAAGCGGCAGTTTTCATGTAGTTTGCGGCCATTTTGTACTGGCCAGAGTTAGAGCCAATAGCTGGCTGCCACTAATAGGCAGGAAGATTCTATTGGCCAGCGTGAGAGCCAACAGCTAACTGACACGAATCTTAACTGGCATGATAACATGCAAAAAAAAAAAATCGATAGCTGCATTCGTCACAAGCGGGAAAAAATTAAATCTGCATGGCACTTTACTCCAATTGGCTCATTCGATTACTTAAACTCAACGTTGGTTCTGATTCCGCAGAACTGGGTTGGGTGTGAAAAAGTATTTGTTGTTAACATTCATTTTTATTCGGTTTTTCCAGTTACGAGTCCTTTTTTAAAGCTGATCGTTTTGTGTTCATTTTGTTTAGTTCTTTTTTCGTAACAGATATAATGTTTAGTATAGAGCTTAGAAAAAAATTCGCAGTGCACGAAGTAAGGCATGTAGCAACATCAGCACGGCAAAGGGAACTCCTTTAAAGGCAAGGAAGGGCAAAAATATTTTAAGTCAAGTGACAGCGATTGCTATACGAGTCGTACAATTTTTGAATCAAGCACGGGCAACGTCGGGCCATGTCAGTGTCATTTTAATTTTTGCGTAATTTGGACGACAATTTATCGCAAGATGTATACAAATATATATATATCCTAACTAGAGGCAGCCGGACGTCTAGTCACACTGATGAGCTGTGATACAGCGAAACAGTACATCTGTGGATGACAATATATATATATCTCTCTCTATATATATATATATATATATATATATATATATATATATATATATATATATATATATATATATTGATTTACACACGTGCGCGAACACGCATGCAAACACAGACAAAAATGGCCATCTAAATGGGATACAACTGAATTTCATATATATATAATTCATACACACACACACACACACACACACACACACACACACACACACATATATATATATATATATATATATATATATATATATATATATATATATATCAGTGTATTTATGTATGTGCGTGCGTGTAAATTTCCCATTGTCTGTTGATGATATCTTTCAAGATTAAAGTAGATGTCTGAACCCACAGATGATACGAAATCTTGCCGTTGCATATCCACTTTTCCCGCTCTCTATACATGGCTGTGACGAAGTATAATTCATTCGTTAGACGGAAGAAGAGATTAGCAAAACTCACGGGCATCTTCGTTTCAGATCTCAGTAGCATTTACCTCCCTTGGTAACTTTGTACCGCTTTAAAGTAAAAATCGTCAAATCAGACGATGCTGAAGGAGAGGCTATCGGATAAGAAAATAGAATAATTATAAATATATCTTGTATAAAATTCATGTAACGGATAGTAATTTCCTTTTGACTTTACATATTAGCAATTTCAATTATTTTTTACATAAAACTTAATAACATTTTTATTTATGTAATCAGTTTCGGGCTTCTCAAATTAGCATTATCACTAGACTTAGATAGATAGATAGTGTGTAAGCAAATATATGGATAGATAGATAGATAGATAGATAGATAGATTTGAACATTGATATAGATATGTGTATATATTGCTAATTGTAAACCGATAGGAAAAAATAAATACAAGTAAAAGAGGGAGCAATCAATGCATTTAAAAAAAGAAAAAATTGAGACATTTGATGACAGAATGTTAATATTATTAGTTTCGATTACAAAGGAGAAATCGAGATGAACAGAGACATATAAAACACTACAGTCAAAACAGTAGAGTCTCGAAAAAATCCTTAAATACTCAGCACATCGAAACAAGTGATGTAACCAATGATGCATTGTTATCAATGATGCTACCAATTGAAAACGGGAAATAAGCTGGTTTAGATATTTTGGAAATTTCTTTCGAAACAACTGACATCCGAGGATTAAATTCGCTTGATGTCTTTCTTTCAGGTCTCAGTACAATTTACCCAATTTCGTAAATGTGTTCCGCTTCAAAACAATCTACGACAAAAATTTTCAAATCCGATCATGTTGAAAAAAGCTTAAGCAGTGTAATTGCACATGAAATCATCTGGTGTTAAATGATAACAAAAGGAAAACTTGGGAACAACGTGTTTCGATGACATTTCCTTGGATTAAGTCGGACTACAGGAGTTGTTATTGCACGAATAAAATTTAATAGGCTCACAAACAAATAGTTGACATTTAAAAAGAAAAACTGATCAAATTTTGATAAGATTAAAATTAGGCCAAATTACAGGACGGCCATCTGTAAAATGATCTAATGCGCAAACATTTTTACACTAGAATTAACTTTAAGAAAGGCCTAAGAGCGAATCACTGTACATGTTTAATTTTAAAATACGAAGTACAATATGAATGAAAGAGGGGTGGTCAATAGTGAAGATTATAAGAAAAAATAGCGACTGACTCTTGACATGATTTAAGATTAAGATTTTAGTGTTTAGGAAAGCATATCTATAGGTGCCTCTTCCACAAACTGGCAGTTTTCGGGGAAAAAAAACCTTCTGATACTATTGGATCTTTCTATTTGACATTTAGAACACGGAGGAAATGGGGGTGATTCGACTCCTTAGAAGTGGCATGGCGTTTCCTAGCTGTAAAAGTCTGAACTGTTCGAAGTAACGAATGGAGTTTATCTGAACATTTTCCATGGAAATAACGACAGAGAAACGAAAAGGCTTGCAACGTTTTGTCTGTGGGGAAAGAGGCAGCAGAGTGGGAAGTAAACCGTTTTCCACAAGACCGTGTAGACAATTTTAAACGCTATCGAGGCTAGAAATTGAAGACTGTGTAGCTCTAGCCCTGGAATGGTAGCGACAATCCATTTAGGGTCCTTATCTGACTCTTGCAATGATAAGGCAGCCCATACAGAGCAAGTGACTACATGGGACGATAGAATGAGCCGACCATTTTTCTAGCATCTTTAGTTACAGATTTTATGAGTTTCACTTGAGGTCGGAAGAGATACTGGGAGTCAAAAGATTTTCAAATTATAGAGCGTCATTGAGAGTGCAACAATTCATCGCGTCTGGAAGGGAAAGCAGTATTTAAAAATATAGTCAGTATAAAATGTACGTATGTTGAAATATAAGAAGTTAATTTTGAATTTTCGCATTTTGAATTATAAATATTTTTGAAGAAAAGAAATTGGCAAGTAATTTCTGAAAATTCTGACGAAAATGCATTTTTTTCTTTTTAAATGACTGAGCGGACAGAAATTAACAGGGTGTTTATAAATATAGAAATGAATGTACGAGAGAAAACGAAAAAAAAAAAAGATCAAATGCAACGTATTTATTGAGGTTAAAAGAAACAGAATAAACAAACGAACGCGCGGAATTAGGATTGGCTAAGAAAGGAATCAAAGTGCTGAAGTAATGAAATATTAAAACGATGAATTAAATCAGAGTTAATAACAAAACACGGAATGACAAAAGAAGACAATAGATGACGAAAAACGCACCACAAATTACAGAAGAAAGGCGAATGAAAGAAACAAATGAAGATGGGGAAGAAAAATGAAAATAAAAGAAATAGAAATGCAATTGGTTTATATTTAATGAACAGGAAAATTAACGGACATGAAACATTTATTTTTCTCAGACAAATGAAACTTTTCAAAATAGTAAAAACATAATAAAAACAAAATGTTAAATTTCTGACCTATATTGAAAAAAAAAAAAGAAATGAAAAAAAAGTGGTGAAAACAGTGACGATTTTAATTTAAAACAAGGGATACAACTCGACCATTAACGACTTGGCGGGAGAGAAAAGAGGGCAAAATTTATCAAAACTTCCAGCAAAAAAAAAAGAAAAAAGAAAAAAGAAAAAAAGAAATGGAGCACATCAAAACGACTCTTGACACCCCCTATTGCTGTACACTCCCTCTTTTTGCGTGTATGTTTGTTAAACTTAAAATTAGTCTTGTAAATAATCTAATACATAGTATTAAAAGTGATAATATTTCGGTGTTCATTCTCGAGAAGAAATAATCATAAATTTGGATACTCTCAACCCATTCTCGTGGATTTATGTTTAGAGTAAATGAAAGGAACGCCGAGAAATGCATTTTTTCAAAAAAAATGTCGTTATGTTGATTTAAATTTTCTGATTCTATAATTCATATGACAATATATATATATATATATATATATATATATATATATATATATATATATATATATAGTCTCCAGTTGTATCAAGTGCTAATTATATGGTGGAGATTTGCATATGAATCCAACATAATAAAGTAATAATGGAGTAAAAAGAAAAAAAAAATACCCCTTTGACACATCGTGTCTTTGAGGGTATATTTGTTATCTTTGCCGAAAAGATTTTTAAAATTATTTACATAAGATTGCGGGAGAATGTAATGAAAATATACGAATTGCGAATGGTATTGAATAAGAATGCATTGACTTTCAGGACGCAAGGTATTCTCATAGAATATTAATGACAAAATAACTAATATATACAGGCAGAGTGTAGCAATGGATTACGGCTCAGATTGAAGAACCGGAGAGTTCGAATTCCAGTCGAGTTTGTTATATTCACTTAAGTGCAAATACACTTGAGAAATGTAAGAATCCGTCTGTTCTCTCTAACCCAGCTATGAGCAAATAGCAGGATAGGATCCTATAGCCCTGGGTGGCTATCTGTCTAGAAGAAGAACAACTCTGCATTCAAAAATTGTGAAGGGCCTAATGGGGATCTCTTGGCACACTACGTGTATCTATATTCGGTTCTTTTAAGTGTAGTTTCTTCTGCAGAAGTGTTCACAATTATAATCAAATCAAATCATATGTGCGAGAAGTTCGGACCTATGAACTGAGGTGCTGTACACTAATAGGTCGAAAACGACGGGAGAGTGTAGTACATATATGTATATATATTTATATATATGAAAGTAGATATTGAAGTCAATACCCAGAGGCGACAGTCTGTTTCATACTAAATGCAGTTGTCAGAACCTGTTGCGTTTAGCCTGAAGCAGACTGTTGCCTTTGGGTGTTGACTTCAATATACACCTTTATATTTACATACGCTCTATCCCTGATATTGAGCACTTTAACCCATAAATGTAAATAGAGCATAACTTAAAAATATATATAAAATATATATATATATATATATATATATATATATATATATATATATATATATGTATTTAGGCAGCAATCCTTCTTTCATGCACATTTCATTGCATACGACAGACAAGGTACTTTTATTTATTTTTTTTATACAATTTCTCATGCGATCTAATAAGTTTTTTCTTGTCAAATAATAAATTATAGAAAAACTGTCCGAATGTTCTTTTTATCCGAGCGCTTTCGGCTATACATTTAGCCATTTTCAAGGACTAAATATTTTAACTGTTAAATAAGAAATACTTTGTTGCATGTAGGATTTGTAAAATGTTTTCATTTTTTAAAACACGGTCAAGATATTGTGTCCATGTTTATAGTTGATAATATTAAGTGTTGTTTTTGTTGTTTTTATTAATAGGGCTTCCATTATTTTAGCCTCTTTTTGCATGTAGATGATGCTATTATATTAGTGTTGTCAACAAGTATGTTACGAATAGGGCCCGTTAGGTCTCTATGAATATTTAAATGAGATCAAATTGAGCTATAGTCAGAAATGTGTAGAGTGAGTCTGCGTGTCAAACATGTTGTAGTGTGGCCTATGTAATCATTTACAGGTTTTGATTGATCAGAAATACAATTTCTTAATGGGCATGCAAATATATATATATATATATATATATATATATATATAAAGTTTATTGGGGTATCAGATCATTATATACATGTATTGCTAAATATAACAGACAACGAATGTTTATTATTTTTGATCATGAGCTTCGTATAGTGACTTTAGTTTCATGAGAAAATAAAACAAAACAGTACAACATTTAGATATTTTTAATGATGTTCCTCGATGTAAGGTTTAGGCTCATATGAGCCATCATCAGAGTGCTTATATTTGTAATGTCCATAGAAGGACTCTGATGACGGCTATGATTCAACTATATATATATATATATATATATATATATATATATATATATATATATATATATATATGAAAGGTAGGTCTACAGTAGAGCGGGGTTGTAGTAAAACCAATATATGTAGTGTGTTTATTATTCGTATCAGAGATATAATCTCTGAACGGACATGTAAATTGATACACTACATTGCTTTTTTTTGTAGAGGATTTAGTTGTGTGGTTGTATGAGGTCAATTGTTTGAACTTTTTATAATATATAATGTCAACATAATAGAATATCACCTTTGATGGTGAATATCTTTGTTTAAATGTCCATATAACCAATCTGAAGATGGTTCATGTGAGCTTAGATAAAAGAACAGAATAATAAAGAAAATACTCAAATATTAGACAGATTTTGTCGTTATTTTCTCCTGAAGTAGCTTAGAACGGCTCATGATCAAACATAATAGACCTTCGTTCTCTGTTATATTTGTTATATATGTTTAGAATTAAATATATAGATTTTTATAGAATTAAATTTAAATTCTTTATCTGTGATCCATTTTCAAGCGATTTCTGTAATTTTTAAAAATAAAAATAATTAATAAGAACAACGCATTATAAATCTTACTTTTTGTTTCTCAGTATATATATATATATATATATATATATATATATATATATATATATATATATATATATATATATATATATATATATATATATATATATATATATATATATATATATATATATATATATATATATATATATATATATGTTATGGTCCGGTTCCTTGTACCACGGTGATAGTCCAAGGTAGAACCAATAAAGAATAACACAGATATATTACAAACAGGAATATCTAAAAGAGAAAAGAAAGTGTTAGTACGAACAATCAGGTTTAGTAGTAATTGTCTGAACGCGACCCTGTTTCGGACTGCCTCTGACTCGTTCTGACTGACTGACAGACTCCTGACGGACTTCTGACGGACTTCACTCCACACTTCAGACGGAACTCCGACATCAGACGGCACTCTCTGCTTCCTCTTGAGACGCAGTATTTATTACGTATGGAATAGTCCAAGAAAATATGAAATGAAACGAAAGTGCTATCTGATGATCCGGCGTCCTTTAGAAGGGCTCTGGTGAAATAAATTATTATAATGGTACCTTAAAATGGTCTGTTTTTCTTTTAAAATATTAGCTCTGAATTTACATTGAGCTCTCAGGATTTCATCGTCCTTGGGATTACCCATACGGATTACCAAGTTCTTTCATATATATATATATATATATATATATATATATATATATATATATTGCCACCTCTATGAAAGTCAGTGTTGTACTAAACTGTGAGAAACAAATATATATTTTTATTAGCTTTATATATATATATATATATATATATATATATATATATATATATATATATATGTATGTATGTATGTATGTATGTATGTATGAATATATATATTAGCTTATAAAAATATATATATATATATATAAGTTAATAATAAATATATATTTGTTTCTCAAATTTGGTACAACACTGATTTTCATGCAGGTAACAATCATCAGGTACAAATTATATATATGATTTTTATCTAGAAATGCAAAAGTAATTCAGTAAGCAGAGGATTGTCAGTACAGGATATTAATGACAGAATAAGTCTATATATATATATATATATATATATATATATATATATATATATATATATATATGTGTGTGTGTGTATATAAATTATATATATATTTATATATAATTTTATATATATATATATATATATATATATATATATTATATATTTAGAGACACAATTTGAATTGCAATAAAATAGAAAAGAAATTAAGGAAATAGTGAAAAAATAACAACTATTCTGTTCGCAGAGATATCTTCATGATTAATACAGCTGAAAGAAATCGTCAAAATTTAAATGTGAAAGATAACAGATGTAAAAAAAGATGTAAACAAGATAAAGATGTAAAAGATAATAAAAAAATCAATCAGAACATAAAGACTGCATAGCCTACGATATTTCTGAAAACTATTGTAAAGAATCATATGTTTAGATTTTCTCATTGACGAAAAACATCTCAGACAATTGCTTTATAAAGAATGGGATTTGAATTAAATAATATCGTTATTGAAGTCTGCCTGTCCGTTTGGTTAGAATGAATGAAAATTCGCGGAATACGTGGGCATTCTTTGTTATAAAATAGAAAGAGAATCAAACACGCTTTGGCGGGCTAAATGTTCTCTTGCAATGCACAATAAACGACACGATGTATTGGATGAAAAAAAAAAATTTGTTTCGAAAACACAACAAAAAAAATCAGGAAGAAGAATGTGAAGATTATTTAAGCCTGTTTTATTCTTCTTCTATCTGTCCTGTACCATCAGAACAATGGTAATCATGACTCTCCACATTTTCTTTTCCTTTGTATCTCTTAATGAATTTTGTTTTTTTTTCTTATTTCACCTAAACCCTCTTTGTGCCATCTATTTACTCAAACTAGCTCGGTAGGTTATACGTTGTTTTTCGCTATTTCTCTTACATTCAATATGACGAGTGGGTATCGAATTTTCCAAACCTTTCAACTATCTCTTTCGGATATTAAGTATAAGGGTTCCTTTTGTTTCCGTTTTCTCTAAAACATTCCAGAATAATCGATAGCAACCTTCTGTGGAACCATATTTCTGTCGCTTCAAGTCTTTTCTTCATCTACGAGGAGATTGTCCAGGATTCATTGCTAATTCTTCTTCTTCTTGGCCTAGCTTCGCGAACGAAAATTTATGAAGTGGGCTGTCCACGTCGACAGCAGTCGCGTTGATAGCTGATTAGGCCGATGCGGGACGGGCAAGTCCGTCCGCAGCGTCTGCAATTGAAGGCCTGGTCTTGTATAGCTGCTGAGGCTTTCCGGTCCTTCCTCCCGCGGCGTTTCTCTTTCGGGTTGGCCCTTCGAGAGTCCTCAAAGGTGGAGACGGCCTGGTGGACTGTGCGGCGCTAGGATTGACGGTCAGCAGAAAGTGTCGACCACTGGCGATGGTCAATGTGGCAGGTACCGAGGGATCTTTAGGGAGTCCTTCTAACGCTTCTTTGGTGCCGCTCTCTCAGGGTGGCCAGTGGAGAGTGGGCAAAACAACGCTATCTTGGGCAGACGAGGGTCTCACATTCTGGAAACGTACCTTACCTTGCTCTGCCCAGCGTAGCTGTGACTTCAGCAACATGGCTTCAATGCTGGTGATTTCCGCTTGTTCGGGGACCTCAACGTTGGTGACGTCGTCACTCCAGTGAATATTGAGGATGGTACGGAGACAGCGCTGCTGGTAATTAGTAAAACTGATATTACATACCAATTTTAATTTGTTTCGTTTTGCTTAGAAAAAAATAACCAGCTCCACCTCTTAAAAAATAAATAAGTAAATAAAAAATGCACGAAACAATAATTCCTTAATAACAACAGATATTATTCTCATTTAGGATGTAGGTAATGATGGCTCTCCACAGCATCTTTTTATTTTTTTTAATGTTTGTGAATTGACACGATTTCAGAAAAACTCTGATGAGCTGCTTCCGCTAGTTCCCAGACTTCATGAATTTAAGCGCTCAACTAGGCTGGCATCTCGCTCTCCCCCTTTTACTGTCGAAACCGTTAAATATAGCCGTCTCTTCTACTCTAATAGCTTCATGTATCGCACTTCTCGCCTGTGGAAATCCTTCCCCATTTCTTGTTTCCCTGATAGCTATAATCTCCAACTATTCAAATGTTATGCCAATCGACGTTTCCAGATGCCTTGATCTATCCCCTAACCGTCTCTTCATCCTTTCCTCTATCACTCCTATTTGCTCTAGGTCCAACTCTCTGTAACCCCTTGCGTGCTAGGGGCTTCCCGCCTTGCTTGGGGTGAAATGCTTAAAAAAAGTGGATTTGTTTCCTTTTCAACGGTTTTGAATCAGGAGTTATTTTACTAGGCTGGCTGCCAACCCAAGCACAAGAACACAGGTTGCGATTTAAATTATTTGCTGGGTGAGAGAAAAGAACATTAATGCGAAGCGAATGTAGCAGACTGTCAGAATTTGAACTTGGCTCGCCGTTTCCAATTGCCGAGCTGATAACCGTCATGCTACTCGCAAATCCATCAAATTATATTAAATGTACTAAATGTTTAAAAATAACAAAAGAAAATTCATCGACTTCTCCATTACACTCACTGTCAGATTATATGAATTCACCGTATGACATTATCACTGCCAAAGTTTTTTTCTTAGCATCTCATAGATTAAAAGAGGATATGCAGTTCACAACAAAGTCGGAATTCTGCAGCGGTTCATCGCTCCTTTACCCCTGGGATCAAACTGGAGTAGATATCCATTCTTTTTCTTAAAGTTCTAAGTGAAGCCGATTCTCGTGGATTTGTCTTTCTCACTTTAAACCGGTTTTGTACCATATCTCGTCACCACGGTAAAAATACCAAGTGTAGTATCTGTTCCTAAATCTTTCTAAGCGTTGAAGAAAGTCTCCTCCCTGGAATTCCAACCTCGTGGCAGGACAAGTACAGAATAATTTGGAGGAGATTTATAGAAGGGGGAGAAGGAGAGAGCGGGGGGAGTAATAAAAAGAAATTGATAGAGTGACAGCGAGTGAATGTGGGTGAGAGATAATGAGAAGGAGATTACATCAGTGACTGAAATAAAAAAGGAGACTAAATAACGAGGAGAATATCAACGCTGAGAAAGAGATTGAATAATGAAGAGAGAGTTGTGGGGTGAGAGCGAGAGAGCCAATGAGAAAATAAGGGGAGTAAGAAATAAAAAATAATAATAATAATAATAATGATAATAATATTAATAATAATAAGGAAAGAAGGAGAAAGAAAGAGAAATGATGGAAAAGAGATCGCATGAACGAAAGAAGAGAAATGAAACAAATGATAGCAAGAGAGGGAGATAGATAGATAGATAGATAGATAGATAGATAGATAGAGAGAGAGAGAGAGAGAGAGAGAGAGAGGAAGATGAAAAAGAGGACGAATTAAACAGAAAGAGGATGAAAAGGGGAAGAGATCACTATTTGAATCACATTTACAGAATACACAACTCAAAATAAAAGCCGATTAAAAAAATGAGGAGGAAATGGAAAGAAAAAGAATTTGGTGCGTTGGTTTGTAGGGGTGACGGTGGTGGCGTTCTTTAACGACGGAGGAGGGAAAAAAATCCCGAAAGAGGGAAAACGAGGAACAATGTTGCTTTTATATTTATTGTTGGATGAGACAAGATTGTTGTAGAGGTCGGGTACACGGTGAGACAAGACACAGAAGAAAGGAGGCAAAAAGGAATCTATTGAAAGAAATCTAAACAGGAACAAACGAAGAGCAAAAAAAAAAAAGGAAAAAAAAGAAGGATAAGCAAAAATCTAAATAAAACAAGAAGAGCAGACGATCGGCCCGATAACGCGCATAATTAATATACAATGGTCAAAGTTCAATGGGTACAACTAAAGTGCAACTCAAGACGACATAAAAAATCTTCTCTATGCTTAGAATGGCCGGAAAGTAGCGTAGGAATAAAAAAAATAGGAATAAATATCATATACTACATTTGGTTAGATTAAAAATATTGTCATAACTTCGGTTATTCTCCCAAAAAGAAGATAAGTAATATGTTTAGATAACACGCAGTATTTACTTGTGCATAATACGAGAAATTTTGAATGAAAATTAAATGCAAAACAATGGTGTTGTATTATACGCAAGAAAACGCTTTTCAGAAATTTATACTCAGCTTTTCTTTTATCTGATGCAGCCAGATTGAGAATACACTTTTACTTACAAGATAAAGTTTATTTATATTTTGATTTTCTTGTATTCTTTAATTAATTCACCGGAAGCAAGGCAATGACGCCACTAAGACACAAATAACTACTGTGAGTGAAAGAGAGTGAAAAAAAAAGGCTTTAAAGAAACCGGATACCCAATCCTAAACCGGAAACAAGTGATAAACTTCTACTCCTATTCAAATGACCAGGGAGGTGTGTGAACCAGATGATAGGCAATAAATTTTCTTTTTTCATTCTTAAGGAGAGGCAATATAGTTTTATTTTCATAGTTTATTAATATATAAAAAATATAACAAAAAATATAATATAAAAAAAAAATTATAAATAAAATATAAAATAAAATAAAAAATACAATATAATATAAAATAAAAATATGATATAAAAAGATAACACCTTTAAATGTATTAACATGAAGCACCTTTCTACTAAACTTAAAAATAACATTTGGAACGGAAATTAGGAGAATAAGTAAGCTTCCGGTGAATTTCTTGAAAGATTAAACATTTTAGTGAAATATATATAAGACATTGACATTTTAATGGATGATATAGTACAACTTTTCAAAATAAGAATTACATAGGGAGGGTTGTAGTACGGAGTCGTATCATTTTCATTGATGTTTCACATAACATTGATCACTGTATTGATAACACCTGAGGAAGAAATATATTTATATGTACGTGCAAGTATATGTGCGTATATGTATTTTTATCATACTCATACATATACATGTATATGTATATATATATATATATATATATATATATATATATATATATATATATATATATTTATATATATATATGTATGTATCTTTATATCAGAATCATGTTAAGAAATTTGAAGATATAGTGAATACAAACTTCCGTGTGACTTGTTTCGACCTTTAGGACTTCGTCAGATCAAAGTGATGTATTTGCACTTCTAAAACAAGACTTATCTAATACAAAACATAATAATATTAAGCTACAACTTCGATGAATTTAATTTTTCATCTGCTATAACTGCTACAAGGAATATGTAAGATAAACCTCGAGGGAATTAAATAAAAGTTTATATGAACACAAAAGGGATATTGTACCAAAGAACATATTCAATTAGATGATCACTGTAATGAGTCTGACCATAATTTTTGATTTTGAAAATAGTACTTTAATTAAAAGAAATAGTACATTATTAAGAAGAAATGGTATAGAAAGTGTTTTAATCGCGAGTTCTTCGACAGTAAATATGCGTCCAAGGTCTTATAAAAAAAATAATTAAAGTTTAACATTTCATCGCCCTCTCCTCTTCGTGTGCATATGTCGTTACATCAAAGTAAATATCGATTTAGTAGAAATGATAACCTAAAGTACGAAACGCGTCACGCAAGAAAATTTTCAATTTTGTCATTGATTTTCTTCCGCCTAGAAGAACACGATTTTAACAGGAAAGCAAAATTCACTATTATTGAAAGAATAGAACTAAACACAGAAGATAAACTTAGGAAAATGCTAGAAGAATATGAAGACATGGATGTTGCACCTCAAAACACTTTGTCCGGACGGACTAAACAACAGACTAAACAGCACAGAGAGAATTAATTTATAATCCCATAGATCAACACCCACCCTTATTCCTCAACCACACTAGACAGACATGCTTGCAGAGGTTTTGAGGTCAACCACACAGACACAATAACACAAGTGTATACACATACACACATTAAAATAAATAAAAGATAACATATACATAACCCACACATCTCCTTCCCATCAATCAATAAATCTGTCAGAATGACTAAGGAGGTAAATCTGAGACTTAGAAACACTCTCAGTCCCTCTTTCAAAGAACTTCGAAGAGGTCATTTTAACCGATAAAAGGACTGACGAAAAATTTCAAAGTGGCCTTTTCACAGATACAACGACAGACCAAAAATTAACGACAAAAAACAAAAAAACAAAAACAAATGAAGACTAAAGGCAAAGTTCACTTTCTTCAGAAGCAGCCATTCACCACCTGTAGTTCACTGCTACTAACAAGCAAGAATTTTTTCTCTCCTGACGATGGCCATATGCTGGCTGAAACTAATCGAGGAATTTAATTGAAATAATAAAACAAAAATATTAATATACAGCCAAAGTATGTCTAAAAGTAATTCTTTTTAACAGTTTTGATTGTTTAACACACACACACATATATATAAAATATGTATATATATAATTATATATATATATATATATATATATATATATATATATATATATATATAAATATATATGTATATATGTATATATATATATATATATATATATATATATATATATATGTATGTATATATATATATATATATATATATATATATATATATATATATATATATATATATATATATATATATATATTAGATCCTGGGTTTCATGCTCTCTGCGATCGTTAGACGGTCGCAGAGAGCGTGAAAACCAAAGTCACACAGTCATATCAATCCAACTATATATATATATATATATATATATATATATATATATATATATATATATATACACCACAAAGCAAAGAGAAATTTAAGGGCACGGTTGGTACTTCGCACTCTTTCCATACCGGCTTTCATCTTAATCTTATTTATTATTTGTATATGTTTTCTTCGCCACCCAATATTTTCCACTTCTCCATCCTCTTCTTATTTCCATATTCTTTTCTTTTTCTTCTTCTTCTTTGTTAATTTCTCAAAATATTGTTTTGTCTATTTTTTCTTCAACTTTCTCCATTTTTCACTTGCTACTTTTTTCCCACTTTTTCCATCTTTATATTCCTCTTATCACATCTGTAGCTTTCCTTTTAATACGTCTGTAATTTTCATCTTTTCCATATCTGGAGTCTTCTTTTTACATCTCTTATCTTCGAAAAAAGAATCTATAGTCTTTTTGACATGCTATTCTTGCGCCATGTCTCTTCATTATGTTGGTGATCATGGCTCTCTAAAATTTCCCGTCCTTATTAAATTTTGTCTTTTTGTTATCTCCAATAATCCCTGTTCGGACATCCATTTTCAACTTCGTCAAGTACGTGACGCACTTTTTTCTTCTGTCGAAATTGCCTTCATTATGCACTGTGAGTGTCAAATTTTCTAAGTCCTCTATCCTCATTATGTACCCTAGAAATTTCAGCCTTCTCTTTTTTATGTTACTTTTTGTTTCCATTTGTTCTAAAACTTCGTAGTTGATCACATATTCATCCATAGCATTCTCAGTATCTTTCTGTAGAATTATATTGCCTGAAATCTTTTCATTATCTGTGAGGATATTGTCCAACATTCACTCTCATAAAAAAGGTTTATTTTTTTTTTACTTTTGTTCTTCTTTCTAACAAATCTTTCTTGCCTCTTAATATTTTGCTTAGCTTCTGGAAGTCATCTTTCGCTATCCAAATGAGTCTTCGGATTTTGGTATCGTTTTTTTTTTGTCGTCTGTTAAAGTTGCTACCGATTCTTCTTCTTTCGAGAAGTCTACATTCTTAAAGATTCTTCTGTATAGACGAATGCAATTTCAACTCTCTTTTCAGACAAATCAATTTTTCTTGATTCCGACCAATTTCCTCACCGCTTTATTTCCAGTTTGATTGTTGTTTTTTTCAAAAAAAAAAGTTACCTCACTTTTACTTATTTATTTATTTGCATGTTAACTTGTTTTCTTCGAGGAGTTTCATTGGCACAGAAGGCAAATGTCAAAGTTTTTCAGTCCAAATCAATATAACAAAAAAAAAAACAATTATCGATCTGGCTGACTATTAGCACAGCATATCAAAGCCCCATTTGCCAAATATTGTATTTGATTAAGTTTCAATGAATGATATATTCTTTCTGACGAACGCACCAAACAATGACTACATTTTGCAATGTGATGATACTTTGGCATCTTCTGATTGCTTAAAATGGTATTTGAAAGAAAGAAATTAAAAACCAATGGATATATAGATATATAAAAATTGTACAGTCCTATAAAATCTATTAACGTATTTACTGATCTTATATAATGTTAATGGCAGCCGTTTCTTTATAAGGAAACATTCGGTATTCATTGAGCAAGTAGTCTGTGCTACTGTCGGTTGAAATTTATAAAATCTTTCTCGTAAGAAAAATTTTAAGGAAACTAGTTTTATTATGTTCAGGAACTGTTATTGTTCTTTCCTTCCTAACCTTTTGTTTGAAGTAGTGTGGAACGTCAACATCTTGATTGTTATTATTTTCTCTTCGACGTATATGTGCAATTCAATTTAGCTGTTGTTGCTGAAGTTGGACGTCTTTGCGCGATGTAGTTTCTCTTATTTCTTACAGGTCTTTGTTTGCGATTCTGTAGCGCCAGTTCACGAGGTTCGAAAGGAGATAGTTCTCGCACATTCGCTCGAAACCGTTTATAACCATTGATCTAAGAAATAGGGTAATATACAACTGAAAATGTAGATATTTTTGAATTGGTTTGACATCATACATGGCATGATATGAAAGTCTTAATGTGACGAGACTATTGAAGAAATATTTTGTAGGTCAAATATTTTGGTTAAAGCTACACGTCTAGGGACACCCAGTGAAGAACGAACTCACTACAGTAGTAAACATTTGTAAGCCTATCATGCAAAACAATGCTCCACGATAGATATATGATATTAATAAATCGTAAATACAATACTCGCCAGCGGCGTGAAGTATGTAAACCACTGCTAGTGGCGGACTACTTAGACAGCATACTACCCCTACTTACAATGTCCAAAGTATTTATGGGGATTGGGATATACCCGTTAGTGTTCATATGTACGGTATATAACAAATATAAAGATATTTATGAAGCGTTGGAGCTATAGAGGGATATTGTGATGTGGTAGAGACTGCATGTCTTATAAATCAGTAAACAAAAGCTGGCTTGTATACGGGATCGAACACTGAACCCTGTTGACATATGTCAATGGGGTTGAGTTGCATAAATTGTACTGTGGCCATCTTTTTTTTTAAAACTAATATTCCTCCAAACCCCGCCAAAAAATGAATTTAAAAACTTTCATATGGGGGTCCAGTTTACTCTTTAAATTCATTGTAAATTGAACCCCTCCTGCGAAAATATAATGAAAATTACCTTATATCCCGTGATTTCTTAAAATGAAAAAAAATAAACAAAATGAAATTCCTAATCTAGAGGGTTCTTTTCATATATTACTATCGATTAAGCATTCTTGATTACGAATGAAAAAAAGTTACATGAAAATATTTTGTTAGATTCTGTAGGGAGATTAATTTATAATGAATTTCCATAGTGAAAAAAAGAGCACTCTGACGCAATTCACTCCGCCAGAAATTTGGAAGCGGCATGCTGTACTGCTTGGCATTCGCACCGGAAACTCCAATACGAATATTTCAGAGTGTTTGGGTATCCATCTGAGGACAATTCAGAGGATTAGGAAAGAGTTGGTTGGGTCTAATTGCGATTACAACGGTGCGAGCTCGGAAAACTCACACTGATCGTTCGAGTAAGGAAAAAACTTTCGAATGTTTTGGTGAGGGCTTCAGACTCAAGACAGAAGTCTACATCAAGATGAACTGAAGCAAAGTTTATGGCACTATTCACCAACAAGGAATTTATTGGTCTCACGCTTAACTGAGCCCCACACATAATAATCAAGGAGGCTGCAGTCTGGGGAGTTATGAGGTGAGATGTAAGTGGTGATGTGGTAGCAGAAATTGTCTGACAGCCCTGACTGGGTACCCCTGCTAGTGTGGCATGGTGCAAAGTCCTGTTGCCAGAAATAGGATCTTGGGTTCTTCAAGCAACCACTCTCTTGACCCAGGGCAGTACTACTTCCTCAAGGCACTTGATGGAGGCCTCCGTCTTGAGTCTGAAGCCCCGTGGGAAGATAAATGGAGGCATAATATCACCATCCCTAGTGATCACTCCAAACACCACGGATGCTGACTAGATATATCCAACTCTTTCCGAATCATCTGCACTGTTCTCAGATTGATACACGGACACTCTGACATGTTCGTATTGGAGCTTCCGGCGTGAATGCCAATCAGTACAGCATGCCGTTTCCAAATTTCTGGCGGAGTGAATATCTTCATGGTACTATTTTTCTGACAGACTGTGTCCAACTGACCCTACTATAATGTGCAGTCTACAAAATAAAAAAAACAAACAACGCGCATGCGCGAAATGAAAAATATAAAATAGCGACAATTTACTAATCTCTGCATACATATGTAAACACACACACACACACACACACACACACACACACACACACACATACACACACACATATATATGAGTATGTATCTCTGTGTGTGCGACCGTTGTTGATTTTTTTACATTTCGGCCATTTTCCTGGTTTGCTTTCATAATTTCTTTTTTTCATTTTCTATTGCTTCTATTGAAAAAAGGCTTCTCTGGATTTAGATTTAATTTTTAAAATGTAGGATTTAGGAACATTTGTTTACACCTAATATATTAGTACTAGATGGAAACAAATAGAACACACACACACACACACACACACACACACACACACACACACACACACACATATATATATATATATTTCTGTTATAATAGATAATAATTTTATTTTGCAAGCGTGGTTGTTCACTTCATTAATCGGGAAAGGCCGGCTATCTTTTTTGAATCTATTCCTCCTGACTAAGCCAAGAAACATCTTCAAAAGAAAAAAAAATGAATGTCATTGAAAGTCCAAATAACAGCTTTTTAAATAAGATCACGGAAAGCGGAGACAATTCTTTGTAAGACGTTAGTGCAAGTGTAGATCCACGTATATAGTTTGCAGTTTACTTGCGACGTTACTTCATCAAGCCATACATAAAGCAAAAGAAAGCAAAATAACAGCGCGCCTTTTTCTTGACACGCGTTATTTTCCCTCTTCTTCAGCCTGCTCTTTCCTTCGACAGCCTTCCTTTAGTTCCATTACCCCGTGCCCAAACCCTTTTCTTTATATCGTAGACCCTGAACAACCAACGTCTCCCCAAGAATCCTTACAGACCCTACAAAAACTCCAACATAGTCACGTTATTTATTTATTTCGGTAAAAGGAGACCTCCTCCCAGCCAGTTTTGTTTGTGTATTCTTATACGTTTTTGTTTCTTACCTGGTAGATGTGTATTCAGACCCTGAGTTCATTGACTTTTTAATGTATTATTTTTCTTGTTCTTTTCTCGTTCTCTCACCCCTACGTATATTCTTTTACTACGGTCTCAAACAGACCAAGAAAAACCAAGCCTTTCTTCTGTCTTACATTCGGCCGGGACCCCGGTCGCCGGAATATACCGCATAATAAACACAGTGTACTCCGTTGCTAAATGTATTTTTCTGAGTCTTGAAAGGAATAATTTTTTCATTAGACTCTATTCTTGGCGTATACAATCGGGACAAGCCCTGCAGAATCAGAACGTGAACGGGTCTTCACATGATTTTTTTTTTGAAAAGTGCCCCGCTGTGCCATTCACTGCGGACCCATGGCATGTTCACAACTTCCGCCGTGTCGCCACATCCAGTGGCGACCTCCCGTTCCTTCGCGTGCCATACACAGTCGCGGTATGCGAGGCTCGGTCCGTTTGGCTTCCATGAAACGCACTGAAATGTTACTAAAGAGCTTCCCTGGTGTGGACGGGCTTTCTTTCCTTTTCATGCCTTTGTTTTCTTCTTTCTCCGCCATCTTCCTCCTATTTCGCCTTTTTTCGTCCTTTTTTTCGCTTCGTCATCATTTTTCATGCTTTCATTTCATCCAGCGATGTTTTTCTTCTTTTCTTTTGCTGAATTTAATTCTCTTCCTGAGGGTGGTCTTTCTGATCATTAGAATTTCCCCTCTGCTTCGTGCTTTGCCTTTTTTTTTATTCGTTTTTCTTATTTTTCTCTGTCCTTTCCTTTCTCCTTTTTTTATTTTTTATTTGTCAATCCTCTGTTTTCCCTTTATTTTTTTAATTAATTTTCTTTTTTCGTTTCCTTTCATTTTTTGTTTTCTTTTTTAATCATTTTTTCCGTTTTCATTTCTTTCTTTTTTTTTTTTTTCTTTTTTTGAAAATGCCTGCGTTTTGTTTTTCTTTTTCACTGACCGGAGTGTTCTTAACCTACTTTTCTTCCCTCAAGATTTCCTTCTTGACACCTTTTACCTTTTAGTTTTTTATCCCAATATTTTTCTTTCTACTTCTCTATTTTCCTTCTTTTCTTCTTCACATTTCATATTGTCTAAAGTTTTCTTCTTTGCTTACCTTTTTCTTGATGCTTTATTTTCTTCTTTCTATCTTTTTTCTTGTTAATATTTTCTACGGCCGTTATCATCTTTTCTTTTATTTTCATTCACCATTCATTCTTTTTTCCTGTTACTTATTTTCAGCTTATTATTATTATTATTATAACTTTAGCTAATTATTATACATGATCTGTTAGAAATTAATGAAGCTGGTAAGAACGTGTTACGCCAATTCATGAAATAGGAGGCAATTTTCCGATAAATCAGTATTCGCAATTACGGACTTGAAAGAGTTCGAACAACCGAAACTTACAAAAAGCAGGAAGACAATCCTGTATAACTATTTACAAACATAGGTTAGACTGACACAGGGTAAGATTTTTGAGGCATAAGTCCGTTTTAAAAACATTAATATTCATGAGTTTGTTTGTGAGACGAGTTTGCTGCCAATAGAGATTCACATTTTTTGTTTTTTTATATTCTATTTTACCCTCCCCATTGCTGGTTATCAATTGACCACCGTTTTATTGGAATTGTAGTTGCATCTTTCTTGAAATATCTTGGTTTTGGCCTTGTACTTGTTCTTCTTGTTTTTCTTCACCTTGTTCTTCTTGGTCTTGTTCTTCTTGTCATTGTACTGTTTTTTTTTCTTCTCCTTGTTCTTGTTTTTAGTTCTCCTTGTTCTTCTTGTTTTCTTTTCTTCTTGTCCTTGTACTATTTTTTTGTCCGTGTTCTTGTATTTACTTGTCCTTGTACTTGTTCTTCATGACCTTGTTCTTTTTGTTTTTTACTTATCCTTGTTCTTCTTTATCTTGTTCTCCTTGTTCTTGTTTTTACTTGTCCTTGTACTTGTTCTTCGTGACCTTGTTCTTCTTGGGTTTTTTCTTCTTGTCCTTGTACTGTTTTTTCTTGTCCTTGTTCTTGTTTTTACTTGTCCTTGTTCTTGTTTTATTTGACCTTGTTCTTCTTGGTCTTGATTTTGTTTTTCTTGTCTTTGTACATGTATATTTTCGACTTGGTTACGATTTTCTTGTTCTTGTTCTTGACCCTGTTCTTGTTTTTACTTGCTCGTGTTTTCTTGGTCATGTTTTTGTCTTTCTTGTCCTTGGTGTTGTTTTTCTTGTTCTTGTTCTTTTAATTGTCCTTCGTGATTTTCTCTTTTTGTTTTTCTTCTTCTTCATGTCTTTGGTCTTCTTCTTTTCCTTCTTGTTCTTGTTTTTCTTGTCCTTGTCCTTCTAAATTTGATTAATTATTTTATCATCATTTCTCTTGAAGTGTTTGGCTTTTAATTTTTCCTCTCGTTCAAATAGTTGTTTATTTTCAAATTGATTTTCTTTGTTTCGTTCAGCTTTTACTCACTTAAATTTTCTCATTTCATTCCCTTTATCTTCGCTTTCGATCGCTCTAATCTTTTCCTCTCTTTCAACATGTCTTTTTATTTTCTTCTCTTCCATTTCTCATTTATTTTCCTTTTTGAGTTCTTTCAATTGTTTTCATTTCTTTGTCTTTCTTTTCATTTTGTCTCGTATAACTTTCTTTTACTTCAATTTCTATTTAGCGTATAAATGTTTCTTTCTCTTCTCAATATTTCTCAATAATTTTTCATTTATATATCTTTTTTATTTCATCCGATTTCTTTTTCTTCTCTTTCATCTAGTAGAAGGGCATTTGTTGTGTTTTTTAAAAAAAATTCTTTTATTTTCTAATTGGCTCAGTTTTTTTTTTCCATTTCATTCAATTCGTTTCATTCCCCTTTCTTTTTCGCATGTTTAAATTTAACTAAATCCGTTTTCTTTTCTTCAAATTCTTCTTGTGTATTTTTGTTCTCTTTTAATTTGTTTCTTTCTCGTTTTTCTTATTATTTGTTATTTTTTCTCACTTTCAATACGTATAATTCCTTTTTTGTTCTTTTCTTCTATTTATCTCATTTCTTCCTAGTTTTCCTTTCATTCAAGCTGTCTCATTTATTTTTATTCTGTTTCAATTGGTCTGATTTATTTCTATTTTTCAATTTATCTTGTGTCCTTTTTATTTCTATTTCAAATTAACTCATTTATTTTTCTTTTATTTTATATCGTCCCATTATTTTAAAAAAAAATTCTATTTCAATCCATGGTTTTCGTTTCCTTTTCTTATTTTTCGCTTCATATGTTCGTTTATTTTTATCGTTTGTTTTAGTTGCAACCTAGAAACTGTTACTGAATGAGGAATAACCCAAACCGAGTTTGGAAATGATATGGTAATCTTTATAACATCAACAAAATACAATACTCGCCAGCGGCGTCAAGTAGGTAAACCACTGCTAGTGGTGGACTACTTAAACAGCTTATTACTCTTCACTTACAATAGTGTCCAACGTATTTATGAGGATTGGGACATAGGCATTAGTATTCATAGGTACCGTATATAATACAAAATAATAAACAAAATTAAAAGACGAAAATGAAAAGTTGAAATTGGAAAGATTAGAAGATATAAAGAAAGGAAAAAAACTTGAACACACGCTCAATTCATCAATCATAAGATATAAACAACAGTCGATTATATTGATAACAAGAAACAAGAAACTACGTCTTATCAACACTTTGCAAGTTATTTAAAGCCAGAACATATCTTTTTAGATTGTAAGAATCTTTTTTGGGGTGGGGGTGATGGTGGGAGAGACGATAATGATTTAATGATACAAGTATTACTAATTAAATAACAATAAAAAAGGGAAATAACTCAAAGTCAACACTAGAAGTGTTCAGAGAGACTAGAAATATGGCGGCAAATAATAAGAGAGTTAAAACTGAAAATGCAGAATTAAACAAAATGTTGCAATCTAGAAAAGGTTACTGAATGAGGAATAACCAAAGACGGAGGTTGGAAATGAAATGGTAATCTTTATAACATCAACAAAATAAAATACTCGCCAGCGGCGTGAAGTAGGTAAACCACTGCTGGTGGTGGACTCAGACAGCATATTACCCTCCACTTATAATAGTGTCCGACGTATTAATGAGGATTGGGACGTACCCTTTAGTGTTCATGGGTACGGTATATAACTCATTTATCAATTTCTCTTATTCTTTCACTATGTTTCCTTTTCCTTTACTTTCTCTTTCAATTCGTCTCATTTTTGATTTTTTCCTCCTCATAGTCTTCATTTCTTTTTGCATGTTTTTTTTCTTTCATTTCGATTATTTTTCTTTTTCGCTTTCTTCTCCTTCACTTATTTTCATTTATTTTGTATCTGATTTAGTTTTTCTTTCATCTTCTTACACTTTTGTCTTCTATTTCACCCTGGCTCTTTCAGTTTTCCACACTTTCATTTCTTTTCAATTTATTTTTCTTTCTTTATTTTAACATGTTTATTCTTCTTTTCAATCGTCTCATTACTTTGTACTTCTCTTTTATGCTTCTTCTTTCTCTTTCATTTCGATCATTTCTCATTTTTTTTTTCACTTTCAGTTTCCTTCATTTCATTGTATTTCCTTTAAATTTATTCATCTTTTTCTCTTTTGATTTGTATTTTCTCTTTTTATTCTCCTTCAATTTGTACTATTTTTTCTTTCAATTTGTCTCATTGCTTTTTCTTCGCATCTTCGAAAATGACACAATAATACCAATTGGAGATTTTTTTTTAATCATTTCACCGCAAACAAGGCAATAAAACCACTAAGACACAATGGGGTTACTGAGTGTAAAGTAATAAAAAAAAAGAAAACACATTAAGAATTGGTTGTTTGGTTGATTTTGTTTAGCCGCCTATCAACCTCTATGGGCTATTTGATACCAAAATTTAAATATTTTGAACGCAATTGTATGTCTTCCAATAGATATTTTGTATATAATTTTATACATTCAGGGTAAACTTATCTTTTTTAGTTATGGTTTGTACATGATCTGCTGTCGGTGTTTTGGTATATTCATATTTAAGGCAGGTGTT